TCAGGAAATTTCCTTCCCACTAATCACGTGACTGGGGAAGTGGACTCCATCCCCAGTCTTGACAGTTGGCAAAACTTTGAGAGAAAGTGACCATGTAGTTCATGTGTTGGGCCCAGGAAGAGGAGGTGGGGAATTGTTGTGCAGACTGGTCTGGTGTTTCCTGAAGCCAGTGCCACCTAGAAGGGGAAATTATTAGCCTGGAACTATAAATAGTAGGAAAGATGATTGCATAAAATTTTGGAAAAGAGTTGAGGAAAACTGTAATCCACACTTGAGTACTAGTTTTCTATAGTGTGCCGTGCTGGAAAATAGTAGTAGCTAACATTTATGTACCACTGTGGATCAGACACTGACTTGACTGCTTAGTCCATATGATCCTTACAACCTTCTAAAACTATGGTTTCCAGGACACTGCCACTGGTCATGTGTGGCTATTTAAATTTACATTTAAATGAACAAAAAGTAAATTAAAAATTCAGTTTCTTAGTTGTGCTAGCCACATTTCAGATGCTTGATAGCTACATGTGGCTAGTGGCTATCATTTGGACCATACAGAATAGGACATTTCCATAGTCTCAGAAAGTTTTATTAAACAATGCTACACTGTAAGATATCCTCTATTAACTATGTCTTATGTACAAATCAAGAAACTGAGACTCACACAGGTTTAGTACTACACCCAAGGTCATCTGGCTAGTAAGGAACTGAGCCAAGATTGAAATCCAGTGTAGCTCTAGGACTTTTGCTCTTTCACCACTATCCTCATTGTAGTGAAAGAGCAAAGCTCGGTTTGTAATAAAGTCAGTTTGTAACAAAATGGTGCCGTGTCTTCTCACAGTTTTATATTAACAAAATGCACTTACTGTTTAAAAAATTTACAAATGTGCAGTTCAATAAAAGTATAAATTTATTAATATTGCAATATCAGGGGAAGTGTGGGACATGTTATTTTTAATATTTTTATTGAAATATAGTTAATGTACAATATGATGTAGGTTACAATATGATATGTAGGTTATGTAGGTTACAATATGATGTATGATATAGTAATTCACAATTTTTAAAGGTTATACTCCATTTATAGTTATAAAATATAGGCTATATTCCCTGCATTGTACAATATATCCTTATAACTTGTTCTATGCATAATAGTTTGTCCTTCTTAATTCCCTACTCCGATGTCACCCCTCCCCCCTTCCCTTGCCCCACTGGTAACCATGAGTTTGTTCTCTGTATCTGTGAGTCTGCTTCTTTTGTGTTATATATATAGTTTGTTGTGTTTTTTAGGTTCCACATATAAATGATTTCATACAGTATGTGTCCTTTTCTGTGTGTCTTATTTCATTTAGGACAGTGCCCTTCAGGTCCATCCATGTTGCTGCAGATGGCATTATTTCATTCTTTTTTATGGCTGAGTAATAGTCCACACACACACACACACACACACACACACACCACATCTTTATCCAGTTATCTGTTGAACTGGTGTTTGTTTTGGTTTTTCCCTGGATATACCCAGGAGTGAAATTCCCAGCTCACATGGTAGTTCTATTAATATTTTTAATTTTTTGAGAAGCCTCCATAATGTTTTCCACAGTGGCTGCACCAATTTATATTCTCAGCAACAATGTACAAGGGTTCCCTTTTCTCTACATCCTCACCAACATTATTTGTGTACTTTATGATGGTAGACGTGAGGTGATGGTAGATGTGATGACAGATGTGAGGTGATAATCTCATTGTGGTTTTGATGTGCATGTCTCTAATGATTAATGATTTTGACAATCTCTTCAAGTGTCTGTTGGCCATCTGCATGTCCTCTTTGGAAAAATGTCTATAATCAGGTCTTCTGCCTACTTTTTAACTAGATGGTTTGTTTTCTTGTTATTGAGTTGTATGAGCTGTTTATATATTTTGGATATTAACCCCTTAACAATCATATCATTTGCAAATATTTTCTTCTATTCAATTGGTTGTCTTTTCATTTTATCATGGTTTCCTTTGTTGTGGGCCACGTTATCTTAAATCCTGTAATAAGTGAATTCTTAGAGGTGATTGCTGGTCCCAGCCAAGTTTTCTCTCTTGACTATTGCCTTCAGCTCTATCTGAATACTTGACTGTCTATTTCTTATTTCATTTCATTTATCTTTGTTAGAACCATAACTGTGTAGAATTATTGTATAATAATTTATATTTGGGAGTTTCTTAAATGAAAGTGTCAATTCTTTAGATAATCCTTAAATAACTTCTCTTTGAAACATCTCTAGAAAGTCTTGAGATTCCCTGAAGTGTTTGTCATTGGCTGGTAGTCACTGCAGTAGAGCTTGGAATTCCAGGAAAACTTAGCTCTTTTAGAAAACTTAATGTCTTTATTCCACATTAGTACATCACTTGAGAAGAAAAGGAGTGGGATTCTGTTTTCTTTTTTCATCCTTTGTGTGCACTAATCCTTCCCAATGATGTGCCTATAGAAAACATTTTGTCTCTTTCAAAATATCAATGGTGTATGACGTGGAAGAGGATGTGGAGGTCTTTCATCTACTCAGTATTTATTGATATTTCATCGTATACGTGTCCTGCCCAAGTGTATAAGTAGCCGCTAGGAATCTAAAGATAAAGATGACTCTCTGCAGCTTGAAAAAAACTTGCAGTCTTAATGGGAGAGACAGTGGCACAGAGCTCTATGCTATACTAATTCATAAAAGTATTCTTGGGGTCTTATGGGAATACCCTTCTGGGGCACTGTACCCAATAGGGACAGTGTTTGAAAGCATGAGTTCTTCATTTTACATGACAGGACTCTTTAGGGATCTGATAAATTAAGGATATTGTTTTTGGGGTGGTTGCGGACTAAAGTGGTATTATCATATACTGGTATTGTGCCTGATGATTCAGCGATCATCCTCCAGACATGTTGCTGTCACATTAAGAAAGGGCCAGAGAGGGACTTCCCTTGTGGCCCAGTGGCCACGACTCTGCACTCCCAATGCAGGGGACCCGGCTTTCATCCTTGGTCAGGGAACTATATCCCGCCACAACTAAGAGTTCCCATGCTGCAGGGAAGATAGAGGATCCCTCGTGCCACAGCTAAGACCTGGTGCAGCTGAATAAACAAACTAGAGAGTAACCCCCACTCATTGCAACTAGAGAAAGCCCATGTGCAGCAGCGAAGACCCAGCACAGCCAAAAGTAAATAAATAAATATAATAATTAAAAAAACACTTTATTTAAAAAAATATGAAAAAGAACATGCTCAGAGAGTTACATATACACAAAGAAGTTCAAACCAGAGCATTTGGCACAGTAAGAAGGGATCTAAAACATTTAAATCATGCAGTTTTGAAATACTTATGAATTGAAATTGATTATCTGAATTATTTACCTATGTGGTAAATGCATAATATTAAATTTGCCATCTCAGTCATTTCTAAGTATACAGTTCAGTCATGTTCAGTATGTCCACGTTGTTGCACAATAGATCACTAGAACTTTTTCATCTTGTGAAACTGAAACTCTATTCATTAAGCATGAATTCTCAGTTCTCCTTTTCCTAGCCCTTGCTTTACACTAATAATTCTCAGCCGTGGTTGTTGATAAGAACCACCTAATGACTTCGTAAGCCTCACTCCAAAGATTCTGATGCAGTTAGTCTGGGTTCTGCCTTGGGCCTTGGCATCAGTTTAAAACCTCCCCCAGTGATTCTGATATACAGCCAGAGCCAGTGCCTTACAACAAGCAGAAAGTCAGCTTGACCGTTTCAGGGGGCACGGCTTCACAGATTTCTCTTTGTCATCTTTCTCTTTGTAATGTAATATGCCATTGTTTCTCATGCTTTCATGTGCATCCAAATAATCTGAGGATCTTGTTCAACTCTACATTCTGATTTGGCAGGTCTCGGGGCGGGGGTGGGGCCTGAGACGGCATGTCTAACAAGCTCACGGGTGATCATGATGCTGCTGGTTCATGACCATAATCTGAAAGGCAAGGTGATAAGCAACTTTATGGTATTGTTAAACACAGGACTTTTGTGTTGGGGAAAATGGAAGTTTTCAGATATCTTATTTTCCTTCCATAAAATCCTCACAGTCTAACGTGAGGTTAGCTAACTACAAGGTCATCCGTCTCTCGCATTGTGCTTCCACTGGTACAGATGCTACACAAAAGTGTTGCCATGCATTGTCTATGTCTCAACAGCTCTGGTGATGAAAGGAAAACCAAAGAATACATTAGCTTACTCTTACTTTCTTCTTTGACATTTCCCAATTTAGATTATCTTCAATGCCTTATATCCATAATCATTGTGGAAGGGTATCTTCTCTTTCATTCCAAAGAATGAAAACTTATGCCAAATACTGAAACAATGGAAAGACAATGATTGTACAATTCCAGATGACACCTTTTATCCATTAGGTCTTCTATTAAAGGAACATCCAACACAAAACAAACTTACCAGTGGAGGAGATGTCATAGTCACTATAATTGGTGAGAGGTGTGCAAGCTTGAGATGGCTTGATTCAGCAGCTCAGCAGTATATTAAAGTATACATCTCCACACACCAGTCCATCCAGAAGGAGGAAGCGTACAGAAGAGTGAGGAACCTTCTTTTCCAAAGCATAATCTCCTCTCATGTCTTGCTGTCCACATTCGGCCCTGAAATGGCCTGTGGGCATTTGAGTATCCTGTATTGATTGGCTCAAGCATGGGTTATGAAAGGGAGACTTACCTGCTTCCTGTTTACTACTATTTAAATGTTTTTATGTAGGCATTTGATATGGATTAAATTGTGTCCTCCCCTCACCTCCCCCACCCTCCCCAAGATAGATTGAGGTCCTAATCCTTAGTATCTCAGATTGTGACTTAGTTTGGAAATAGAGTTGTTACAGATGTGACTAGTTATTGTCATTCAGTTGCTCAGCCATGTCCAACTCTTTGCAACCCCGTGGACTGGAGCACACCAGGCCTCCCTGTCCATCACCATCTTCCAGAGCTTGCTCAAACTTATGTCCATTGAGTCAGTGATGCCATCCAACCATCTCATTCTCTGTCATCCCTTTCTCCTCCCACCTTCAATCTTTCCCAGCATTAGGGTCTTTTCCAATGAGTTGGCTTTTCACATCAGGTGGCCAAAATATTGGAACTTCAGCTTCAGCATCAGTCCTTCCAATGAACATTCAGGACTGACTTTCTTTAAGATTGACTGGTTAGATCTCCTTGCTGTCCAAGGGACTCTCAAGAGTCTTCTCCAACACCACAGTTCAAAAGCATCAATTCTTCGTTGCTCAGCTTTCTTTATGAAGTCCAACTCTCACATCCAAACATGACTACTGGAAAAACCATAGCTTTGACTAAACAGACCTTTGTCAGCAAAGTAACATCTCTGCTTTTTAATATGTTGTCTAGGTTGGTCATAGCTTTTCTTCCAAGGAGCAAGGATCTTTTAATTATATGTCTTCAGTCACCATCTGCAGTGATTTTGGAACCCAAGAAAATAAAGTCTGTCACTGTTTCCGTTGTTTCCCCATCTATTTCCCATGAAGTGATGGGACCGGATGCCATAATCTTAGCTTTTGAATGTTGAGTTTTAAACCAGCTTTTTAACTCTCCTCTTTTACTTTCATCAAGAGGCTTTTTAGTTCCTCTTTGCTTTCTGCCATAAGTTGGTGTCATCTGCATATCTGAGGTTATTGATATTTCTCCCGGCGTTCTTGATTCCAGCTTGTGCTCATCCAGCTTGGCATTTTGCATGATGTACTCTGCATATAAGTTCAATAAACAGCGTGACAATATACAGCCTTGACGTACTCCTTTCCCAGTTGTGAACTAGTCCATTGTTCCATGTGAGTGGGTGTAATTTTTAAAATTGTGGAGACTAGCATGGAATTGATAGCTTTTTGTTATACCATGTAAAAATGTTTTTAGAAACGGCTCCCACACCTGCATCATTTTGTAGAACAGAATATACTGATGCTAAGAATATAATCATAGAATGCACATTATTTAAACTGAATAAATTTAGTTTCATAAAAAAATCACCATGTTGTCTTAATTGTTATCAATCTCGTTGTACAACACACCAATGGAAACTTAGGGACTGGCACTTGTCAGTGGATCAATGTTTAAGAATCATAGATGGGAAGTTTTGAAGGAATTTATGTGAGCATGTGGCACAGTCTGCTTTTTCTTTTACATATATGGCCCTGTTAGCTGTTTTAGAGGCTGGATTGTAAGGGACAAAGAGTAGATTGTAGAGTCGCAATGAGGAGATTGCTGGAGTGGTCTAGGCATGAGATGATGAAGTATTGGTTTAAATTGGGATAAGTAGAGCTGAGCCAGGCTGGGCTGGGCCGGGCCGGGCAGCTGGAGTCGCTGCTTCCTTGGTGCTTGGCTGGAGCCCGCCAAGCTGTCCATGTCGGGGAGCCGGTGGCAGGGGACTCATTGGGGATGCTCGCAAGCCTGTGAACCTTGCTCTGGCGCCTCCCCCACCTAGCCCTCATCTGCATAGGAAACCCAGGGCCTGGCGTCTCCATCTAGAAAACCTGTGATCTCACCGGCTACCTGGATACCAGCTCCACAGCTTGGCCGGGACTGGTCTGAACTACCTGAGCACCCCCCCTTTCAACGAGCCTGACTTCAGCACACCTCAGCTGGGGGCAGAGACTCTACTCAGGCCCTCTGTCATCCTGGAGGTGTGGCGAAACCTCAAGGACAAACTGCTGCTAACCCAGAACTCTGACGCCTACAGCCACCACCTGTGCTACTTGAGTGGCCCCACCTCCAAGGCCATCACTGTCAAACAAACAGTGCCACAGCCGGGCCCACCTCTGCACCAGCCTCTAGGGTGTGCTGGGAGACATGTGGGTGTTGTGGCAGCTCCGGGCTACCCACTGCCCAGCCTCTGCCTGGGACTGAGCCCACCTGGGCCCCCGGCCCTGCCCACAGTGACTTTTTCCAGAAGATGGACAGCTTCTGGTGGCTGAAGGGGCTGCAGATCTGCCTGTGACACTCGGCCAAGGACTTCAATGGGCTCAAAAAGAAGATGCAGCCTCCAGCCACTGTAGTCACCCTGCCCCTGGAGGTCTGTGACTTGTAACCTCTGACCTTCCTTTACCGCCTTCTCTTTCCCCTCCTCCTTGAAACCGTGCTCCCATGCTGGGAAGGAGAAACCTATACGCCAACGCTCATTGAGCCAGGAGGCTGAAACCATGAGCCTTTAGCCCTCCCTGGACTTGGAAGAGGATGTGATTCAATAAGACCCATCCACTCCCAGCCTTCCTGACTCCTCTAGGCCTGGAGAAGAGGTGCAGTAGGCCCCATCCCATTTCCACCTGATGTGATCCTCAAAGGAGCCCAAAATGATTGGTGCAAGGCTCTCAGAGCTTCATGCTTCCTGTCCACTACTTGCCAGCACCCACCCAAGCCCTCAAGTGGCGCTTCCAGTAAGTGTGCCTGTAGGTAGGGAGTGCGCCACCGTCTCCTGTACCTTTCTGGCATGAAACCTTTTGGCTGCCAACTTCTCCTTAGATGGGTGTTGCTCCGCTTACCCCCAAATAACTCAACACATCCAATTCAGGAAACACACATGGTAGCAAGTCGAAACAGGAAGAGATGGGATTAAAAAGGGAAGAGCTGGGGTCTGTGTTGGAGGTAATACTGAAAGCAGAATGGGAGGGGCAGACCAGGCACAGGGGTCACCAAGGCAGTCAATGTCACAGGGTGGCAACCAAAACGACATTGCTAAGGATTTTCTTGCCAGCTTCAGGACCCTTCCCCTCCACCCTCTCTCCCAGAGTATGTGAGTTGTCAAGGCTGAGGAGGGCAGCCATAGCCACAGAATTTCCTCAAAGTTTACATTGCAATAGCAGTTTGAGGTGTGGGGGCAGCTCCCCAAGCCCTAGGCCTCAGCCCCACCCACTCATGACTCTTCAGTTTGTTTGTTTATTTATTTGAAGATGTTATATGTTCAGTTCAGTTCAGTCGCTCAGTCGTGTCTGACTCTTTGCGACCCCATGAATCACAGCATGCAGGCCTCCCTGTCCATCACAAACTCCCGCAGTTTACTCAAACTCATGTCCGTCGAGTCGGTGATGCCACCCAGCCATCTCGTCCTCGATCGTCCCCTTCTCCTCCGGCCCCCAATTCCTCCCAGCATCAGGTTCTTTTCCAATGAGTCAACTCTTCGCATGAGGTGGCCAAAGTATTGGAGTTTCAGCTTCAGCATCAGTCCTTCCAATGAACACCCAGGACTGATCTCCTTTGGGATGGTCTGGTTGGGTCTCCTTGCAGTCCAAGGGACTCTCAAGAGTCTTCTCCAGCACCACAGTTCAAAAGCATTAATTCTTCAGCTCTCTGCTTTCTTCACAGTCCAACTCTCACATCAATACATGACCACTGGAAAAACCATAGCTTTGACTAGATGGACCTTTGTTGACAAAGTAATGTCTCTGCTTTTTAATATGCTATCTAGGTTGGTCATAACTTTCCTTCCAAGGAGTAAAATATATTAGGTGATATTTATTGCTGAATTTCTATCCTTGTATTAACCAATAAAATGCTTGCCTCAGAAAAAAAAAATTGGCAAAGGTAAAAATGGAAAAGTATGTGGCAGAGATATTTAGAATGTATGGTCAACAGGACTTAGTTTTTGATTTATTAATAATTCTTAAAAGCAGGGGCATCACAATCACTGGAGTTGAGTGTGTATACACACATATACACATGCCTAGACTTACCCTAGACCTGAATCAGAAGGGTCAACCTGGCTGTATGTATTTTTAAAAGCTACAAGTATGAGTCCGATGTTCACCATTGGTTAAAAACCAATTCATAGATGGTCAACAAAAGGAGAGGGAGTAGCCAAGGAGTGCCTCCCAGGTTTCTGAGTTAATGATAGAATGGACATGAATCTGAGCAAACTCCAAGAGATGGTGAAGGACTGGGAAGCCTGGTGTGCTGCAGTCTATGGGGTCACAAAGAGTTGGACACGACCGAGTGACTGAACAACAGCAATGATAGAAATCGTGGAAAAGAATAGCTTCAACTCCTTCAATGAAATTATTTCATTTTATGATAATAGTATTTTATTGAATAGGCTGAACTCAGTGTGGGCAGTCTTCTTGTTTCTGGAACATCCCTATAGCTTCTTTGGTACTTCTAATACTGAAGAGCAATCTCATTTTCAAGTATTGAAAAATTCATTCCAATCCATTATCCACAAAATGATACTATATAAGAAAGAAAATATAACATAATTATAGTAAGAACAAAAAAGTACCCATAACAAGAAAGTTGCAAGACCAGAATGAAGGAAACAAATACTGCTAAAGGACCCTCCCCTCCAAAAAAATCAATAGTGACACAATCTTTTTAAATAGAAACTCAATGTCATTAAGTTGTCAGTTCTCTCTATGTTCGTTATTGGATATAATCCAGTTCCAATAAAAATACCAATAGATTTTCTTTGAAATAAGTCATCCTAATTCTAAAGTTTTTGTGGAAAAATCTTCAAGCCAGAAAAGTCTTGAAGATTCTGAAAAAGAAAAGCAAGTGCAGAGTCACCCTATTGGTTATTAAGACGTATAGTAAAATTGCTGTTGTTCAGTCACTCAATTGTGTCTGACTCTTTTGCAACTCTATGAACTGTAGCCTGTCAGGCTCCTCTGTCTATGGGATTTCCCAGGCAAGAATACTGGAGTGGATTGTCATTTCCTTCTCCAGGGCAATCTTCATGACCCATGGATCAAACCTGTGTTTCCTACATTGCAGGCAAGGTCTTTACCACTGAACCACCAGAGAAGCCCATATAGTAAAATATCAGTGAGCAAAAACGTGTTTCTGGTGTACACATAGACACACCAGAATAGAACAGAAAGTTCAGAAATAGAATCAGATGCATATAAGAATATGTACATTGACAGCATTCCACTTCAGTGAGTAAAAGGTGATCTTAGGAAATCCAAGGAGCCATCTGGAGAAGACATGTGAGAATGTGCCCGTTACCAGGATCAAAGTTTCAAGTGTAAAAAAAGGAAACAAAAAACTAGATGGAAATAAGGGATAACTTCCAAAGATTATCAATTTATTTCACAACGTCCAGAAGCTGTAACATTCAGTCATATAAAAAGAAAAACTCAAAACATCTTTATTGAAAAATAAAGTCAAAAGACAACATGGGAAAGATGTTATTTATGATATGGCTTAAAATAAGGACTAACACCTACAATACAGAGAAGATATCTTGCAAATAGTAAAGGGAACATGTCAATAGGGAAAATGGTAAAGAAAAAACTAATGGAGAAGGAGATGCAAATAAACATTTTAACAA